GGACGCTGCGGTAATAATCACACAGAGTATGAGTATTCACACCTCGCCCGTCCAAGAGGGTGGTGGATGGCACTAGACAGGTGCTTAGGTGCCAAGTGGGATGGGAGTCGAGCGGGCAGAACCTTGTCATGGAGCCATCGATGGCTTGCAGAGGTAGGTACATACAGGTTCCAGGGATCAGAATTGTTAGTGCAGTGGATCCTTCCTAATTAGGCTACGTACCCCGATACATTTTCCACCATAAAAAATCCCGCCAAATCGATGTATCGCTACTCGCACCTCCATTTGCCAGAACCCACTAGAATCGTCACCCACAGATAAGATATCAACATACATTGATCTCTACTACAAATTGTGTGGCACCCTGTGTACCCTTATCCCCCCTGTTACCCCCCCTAGTTGATCCACCGCACTAACAATTCTGATCCCTGGAACCTGTAGTAACGAAAGAACCTTGTACGCCCCATCGGTTGCCTTGGCCGTCCCTCGCGGAGTGCTATGCATCGTCATGCTGGGAAGCCATCTGGGCACACTGGGCCAACCTCCAACAAAAGGCCAGGCCGGGGGGCGGCTGGCACACTAGCAAACACTGGGGCAATGGGAAACGAGAGACAGACCATTCGGCAGGCCAGACGTGCCATGCGAGGTGGGTTGCGATGCAACTCCACGGGACCCATCATCCTCGCAGATGCGCATCCTTTCCCAGGGCGATCTTCCGCCCCAAGTGCCGAAGCGAACCCATCGCAGAGACAAAAAAAAAAAAAAAAGACCCGTAGTGGTCGACCGGTCGGTGGTTTTCGCTTCTTTTCTTTCTCGCCCTCCCCCGCCCGCAAAGCGATTTACTGTTGACAAACGCGGACCATCTCTGCGCGTCCACCATGCAAGTCGCCAGCGCCAATCTTCGGGACGCGATGACCGAGGGTGTGGTGGCACGTCCCTTGGGTCGGTCAGGACCGACCTGGCGTGCTGACTTGCCTGACACATGCTGTCGACTGATCAAGACGAGATGGAGGGCAATGCTGTTTGCCTTCCTCTTTGCTTGTCACGCTCGTTTAGCAACCCTCACAAACAGAGAGGCTGGCTTGGCAGGCTACTGTCCGGGCGGTGGCTCTGGCTGGTCCAAGCGACTTTTCTCCGGCCATGGCCACAAATGTGTCGGTCAGCTATCAACACCAACGTCCACCAGACCGAGCCAAACTCACCGTCGAGCAAACCACGTCCCCGTCCGCTTGCCGCAGCCGCACATAGTGCAGCCCCATCTCTCACGGCTAGCGACGCCTCTTTTGGAGCTGCATGCACTCCAGTCCGCCCTCCTCGGTCACCCAACGCCACCAGCACACACACCAGACCTTTCCATCCCCCTGCCAGTCAGCACCCACCGACCGACCGAGTAGTTTTTCCCGACGTGCTAGTGTTGTCCTTCCCCACATTCTCTCGCAAAACCCTGGGCCCCGTGCGCGGCCTTGCATGCGTCCCCCACCCTCCCCCAGCTGTCCTCCCTTCCAGGACGACGCCCGCCTTCCTTCGTCTTGTCCCCTCCTTTGCGAACATCCCCTCGTATTACCCAATTTTGGTCACTTGGCTATCCGCATGACCTGATTTTCCTCCGAGCCAAGGGGGCGAATATCATGAGGTGGGCGGGAGGAGGGCGGAACGTCCGGCGCTCTTGCTTTCATGTCTTTGCCCCTCCTATCCGTGGTTTGCCTTTCGCAGTGCTCGCACACCACCAAACCATGTCTAGGGCGCGGCATGCCTCCGCTTGCCTCATAAGCGGACATGTTTAGCCCCGTTCCCCCCTTGTCTCTCCGTGACTCGTCCTGAGACAGCGATATCTCATCTCCACCGTCTGTCTGCCCGCCAACACCCGGTGTTTCCCGATCTTATTTAGAAGACGGCGAGGGGAAACTTGTCCAATTACACATGTAATGCGTAGGCATGTTTTCGGAGCTATAAATTCCACCGTCCTGCGGAGCGAGATGCCCACCCAGCATGCCTCAACTTATTTGTCCGATTTTGCAGGCAGTTACACAAGATCCAGTGATAGCAAGCCGTAAGTTTGAAGTCCATCCCAAGAGACATGCCATAAAGGGTAAATCCTACTCGAAAGGGCCTCGGGAGTTTTTGCTGCGGGAACTAGGCTGCGAGCGAAATCAAAACAAGCGTATCACGTCAGCCAGAAGGCCCGGGTTGATGGGAATTGGCTGATACCCCGTTCGAAGGTTCCACATTGCCGGAGCACTACCTCCCTTGGATAAAATTTATACCCTCCAAACGGCTGCAGGTAATTGTGTGCTAATTACGGCATCATGCATGACCGCAGCTGTCAGCAGCATCGATGGCAGATAGTGCAGATGAATGCGGGACACCCGCAAGACAGTAGCTAGATATGCTAGACTGCCGACCACCCCTACTACCCGGGCAGGCCGCTCTACCCAGCACCCGAGGTACCTACCTAGCGTGCTAGCCCAAATAACGGAGCGCTCGGGGTCTGACATCATTGATCTCACCTGCAAGGTCATCTGAGCAGTCATCTGACGAAGCCAGACTAGTCTGTCGTCTGCAACCAAAGCTGTCTCCTTGGCCGAGCTCTCCCCCGGCCAAAGCTCCCTCCTGCTTCCAACGCCACTCAAGGACTCGCGTCAAGCCAGAGCAGGTCAAAACGGGAAAACTAGCGCGATCGGCCCACTGGTGGTGATCTTGCGGTAGACTCGGCATATGCACATTCCAAAATTGATTATGGAGCCAACGGGACAGGACTTGGACATGGGCGGGAGGTCCGTCGGGCTGGGCCGCAAGCGGGAGAATGTCAGGACGGGCAGCGACAGGCGGAGGGGTCGGGGTCTCGGAGCGGCCTGGGCTTGGCGGGGCCGGGCTTTCCGGGGTGTTGTGCTGTGGCGGAGCGGGCAAGGTTACGTGGCCGCGGACAAGCCCCCAGCAAACTCAGCTGCTTCGCCCGTGACGCGCATGAGGAGAGACGCGCAATCAGTGGAAACGGGGGGCGTATGTCGTAACTGTGGACAGACAGCTGAGTGGCCGAGTGGCAAGACAACCGAAGAAGAAAAGCAATGAATGAAGGTGGTGCGAAGGTCGAGACCATTGAGTCATGTCTTGGGGTTAGGTATATTATATGCAAGCTGAGTTGTCCGCTGTCGCGGGGTATATCCATAAAGCTTGGGTGATATCTGGGTGTGGGACAGTTGGATATTAATGGGTTCAATGTTGGCCTTGGCTCAACTGGCAGACAGTTAAGATCCACATTTAGCGGCGCGGTGAGGCCTGTGCACTGTAGTAATTCGCTGTGCCGCCTTACTCACCTGAGTCGGTTAGGTGACGACATATGGAATGGATATCAATCGAACCAGGTAGGGCAGTGAATAGGCGAACACGACGACAGAGGATTGACACGCGACCTGCAGGCGACGTTGCTTCTTGGGCTGCGGCTGATGCCCCTGTGCTTCACCAAGCGCGCGCTGCTATTTGATTCATTCAAGGACCGAGTCCAGGTCATTTGCCAGACCCTGGGCAGCATCAACACGCCGCCGCCACTAGCCTCCAGTCGAAAGGCACAAAAGCACAGCGGCCTCTGATTTGTGCCTTCAGCGCTGGGCCCCTTTCTTGGATCTCTTTCTTGCGCCTGCACAACCGCCCTCTCGTTGGTGCTTGGTTCCACTGCCGGATCACCGACAGATCAAATAACTGCCCGACAATTTTGGCCTGGCACCGTCGCACAGCGTCAGCCCGTCGTTGGCCGCGGCGTCCGACCTCAGCGGGGTTGGCCACGGCAACACAGCCGGCTGGCTGGTTGGGCATGAAACGCGGCCTGCCATGCACGAGCCCGACAGGACGGCGAGTGATTGAGTGATACATGTGCCTGGCCAGGGGCGACTCGACCCTACGGTGGCGGCCGCCGAACCGAGCAGACAAATACCTGCCAGGGACGCTGCACACGCCTCTCGACGGGGTGCCGATAGACATCTCGTTCATCCCTCCCAAATCCTGACGACGACCAAAGCTTCTTCCCCCCCATCACCCAGTATGCCCGGACAGGGGATGCCCGCTGCGCTGCAGCAAATGACGGCGCCGAGGGTCGAGGCAAGATCGCTCTCGCAGCTCAACTATCTCGCCGCAAATCCGCCCAGGTACCCCGTCAATCCCACCGAGGCAAAGCAGCCGCCCCTCACACTGTACATCTCGCGGGTGCCCGGATCAAGAGGTATGGCTTCTCCATTTCCTGGTCCTTCTAGCCACGGCGCCCGTTAACCTGTCACTACAGACGTTATCCTGTCCCCCTTCAAACCCCAGCTCAAAAACGTCACGGGCGAGGATATCGCCAACTCCTTCTACCTGATCCACCTGGACCAGGCCTCCGACGAGCTGCTGTTGGCTCATTCCCAGGACGCCAATGGTGGCTCACCGACTTCGCATTACGCTCCTTCTATTGCCTCTGCCCACTCGCCCATCGCGAGGAAGCCCTTGCCCGCCTCCGCCAAAGTCTCGGCCCCGGTTCCGGTGCCGCCGGTTTCCGAAGCGCCGACTCAGGCCACGGTCTCGCCTGTGGTGTTCCGGGCCGGCCAAACTGATGGATCCGATGTCTTGCGCGTGGGGCAGCCTGCCCTCGGTCGTCCGGGTCAGGAGATGAGGTCCCCAAAGAATGTCTCGTTTGGACCAGACCTCTCGTATCCAAATCGCTATGGAGACCTGCCTGCCGACCGCCCTACGCTTCCACCTAGGCCAGATAGCCAAACAGTAGTGCCAAGTCAACAATCACAAGGCCCCATGACAAGAAAGCCCCTTGGGCCAAGATCGCTCGAGATCCCACATCAGCCAGCGCTCTCACAGAAGGACGCGCCCCGGCCCCTGAGCGGTGGCAAATTTGACGGCCTATTGCCTTCTCAAACTCCAGGTGCTGACCACTCTCCATCTTTTCCAACTCCCGTACCTTCGCCCAAACCCCCACCCGTGCAGCCTGCGCATGAGCCCACGCCTCGAGCCGACTCGCACAGGTTCCCGTCACCTCCAAGGTCACCCTCACCAGCCAAGCGCGACCTAGTCCCTTTCACTCTCACCCTGATCCGCCGTGATCCCGTTACCGGTAACCAGTGGAATGTCGGTAAGGTGTCTTCTTTCCAGCAGTCCGCCGAAGCCCCGGTCGCGGACGACCATGCCGCCGATGCTGCCAACGGTCCCACGATCGCCGAGCTGGCCGGCGTGGCCCCGCCTGTCGCCCCTCCGGCTAGGAATTCGAGCAGCGCCCCTCCTGCCGTTAACATCAGGATCGAGACCTCAGGCTACGCCAAGTTCCGCGGCATGTTTACTACCCGCGAGAGCCTGGACATAGGTCGTAATCGTACAGGCTCGGCCTCTTCGTCGGTCTTTCGTGGGGTTCAAGGCGGGATAGCTGGAAATTCAAGCGCCGACTCGCTGTCAATGGTGTACTTCACCCGCCAGTTGCTCATGGGCTACACCAAGAGCTGGACCACCAACATTCGAGACCACCTGCGCAACAACAAAAATCGCAGCAACAGCGCCGTTTCCGACTACGACACCGCTGTGGTGGGAGCAGGAAACCGGAAGAGCCCGACGTCGCCTCTCGAGGCGCCACCCCGGCCGCCTTTTTACCCGCGGCCCAGTAGTGCCGGGTCCGCGGGTTCAGGCGCCTCGGTCACCTCGCCGCACGGGTCCCCCCTCAGGGGCATGGCGGGCCTGCAGGCGCTCCAGAAGAACCTCGACAGCCACATAGAGAGCAGCAGCCACAACCAGGCTCACAGCCCCAACGGCAACCACATCGTGACGGCGCCCGGGCCTGGCCTCCGGCCACGCGGCTATGTCTTCGCCAGCCCTTGGGACGGCCTCTGCGAGTTCCGCACCAGCAGCAGCGGGCGTGGCGTCAAGTGCGTGCACTCCCTGGGCGGCTGCGTCGGCGCCGCGGACAACGGCGACGGGTCCCCCACGTCGCCGCATCAGCCGCCGGCCACGCTCGTCAGCGAGCTGCGCTTCAACCTGCCCAGCACCGACCTGTTCCGCGACAAGGGGCTCGAGATCCACGGCAAGCTGGACCGCCTGCGGCTCGACGCCCAGCGCACCCTGGCGGCGCACGGCCACCACCGCGGCAGCCGCAGCCTCGACCACAGCCCCACCGCCCACGACTTCCCAGACCCGTTCGAGACCGAGATGGGCCTCGGCCGCGAGCGCGCCGGCGGCGGCAACAGGGGCAAGCGCGCAAAGCTGGGCAAGCTCATCATCTACGAGGAGGGCCTCAAGATGCTGGACCTGGTGGTTGCGGCCAACATGGGCGTCTGGTGGGGGGCTTGGGAAAGGAGCTTCTGAGGCTGTGGAGGAATTTTCCGACATTTGTCGTTTGGCTTTGCTTCTTGTATGCCTCGCAGGGATGGCATCTCTGCATCTCGGTGTGATTTGGAACCTGGATTTTCGGCATTGATCGGCGTACCACCATTCGCGGAGCGTTGTGGGCGTTTTTGCATCTACCCAAGCGCTGTGTTTTGCGTTATAATTCCTTCGTTGAAATACTTTTAAAAAGCTCGGGAGATGGATAGAAAATAATCAAGACGATAGAGGAACCGCACATGTTCAAGCTCGAGCGCAGGCTGGGGTTTAGCCTGGATAGCATTGAACCAGGGCCAGCCTCCCTCTCCTCTATTATTGGAGAGAAAAGTTATCGCGGGGATGCGGCGGACAAAGCAAAATTCCCGGCTAGTATTTACACCACCTAGGGAAACTTTTCAGCCTCTTCCTCTCAACCCCCATATTTTGGAGACACGGTGAAAGCCGACGAGGCCCTCCTACTAGAATCGCTACGACCCATGTTATCTGTAGGGAGCATCCGCCCTGATGGCCGCCGCAAGCTCGGGCTCCCACTTGTCACCATTCGCCAGCAGTTTCTCTGCAGGATACGTCAGCAAAAGTCCAAGTTGAAGAGTACGGATAAGGTATCAAAAACGCCACAACATACCCTTGTTGTACAGCAGCTCCTCGCGGGTCTCGGTGGCGTACTCGGCGTTGGGCGACTCGACGATGGCGTCGACGGGGCACGACTCCTGGCAGAAGCCGCAGTAGATGCACTTTGTCATGTCGATGTCGTAGCGCGTCGTGCGGCGGGACCCGTCCATGCGCTCCTCGGCCTCGATAGTGATGGCCTGGGCCGGGCAGATGGCCTCGCACAGCTTGCAGGCGATGCAGCGCTCCTCCCCGGACGGGTAACGGCGCAGCGCGTGCTCGCCGCGGAAGCGGGGCGAGATGGGGCCCTTCTCGAACGGGTAGTAGATGGTGTAGGGTGGGCGGAAGAACTGCTCGAGCAGCACGTACATGCCGCGGAACATCTCGGTGAGCAGAAAGTACTTGCCCACCTGGTCCATGGTTCCGGTCTTCTCCTGGTCCCACTCGACCGGGGGCGGCAGCCGGAAGCCCTTGGGCGGCGGGCCCGCGGGCGTCGCGTAGCCCCTGGCCTGGAGCCGTTGCAGCTGCTGCAGCATGGCCTGAGCCGGCGGTGTTCTCCTGCCGCCCGCGGCTCTGAGGAGGGTGGCCTGGCGTGAGGCCAGGGCAGCGGCGGCGGCGCCCATTCGCGCGGGTGGCGGAGCCATTTTCCGAGGTGGGTTGGTTGGTTGGTGGTGGCTGCTCGGCTGCCCGACACCAGGGGGAAAAGGTGAACGCTCGGAGGGGGACGTCGGACGAGGTCGGTTGCCAATTGGGGGGTTCTCGGGGCGGCGTCGTTCGGTGGGTTTGCTGCCTCCTCCCGGGCGAGGTGATGATGCTTTGGCGTGATGGGGAATTCGGGCTTCTCTTTGGGAGGAAGTGCTTGCTTCCACTTTCGCTGTGGCTTTCGGGATCGCACCTCCACTGACATTACAAAAGCGTGGTCCTGATTGGCCAAAGCTGCACCCCCAGACTGCCGCCACTTTCCCGCGATTGCGACGGGGCAAAGCCACATCCCACGTGACTCGACTTTGCTCAGGAGCTTGCCAAAGCTTCGGCCAAGCTCCAAGACCTGGCAATTGGGAATGCGGGTCAACCGTCATGAAATTTGCTCGACGCGATATCCAACCAAGTGTTGAACCCACTCGACGTCGACGGCCGCCTTGCCTTTTTTTCTGGTTCCCAAACAACAACTTCAACCACAGCCACCATGTTCCGCGCAAACGTCCTGCGATCGGCCGTGGCCTCGGTCGCCCGTGTTGCCGCCGCCCGCCCGACCCCCGTCGCCAGATTAGCCGTCCGCGGCGCCTCCGCCCCCGCCACCTGGATGCCCAAGACCGCCGCCGCTCCCTGGTCCGCCGTCCGCTGCTACGCCGCCGCCGCCGGCCTGGACAAGGACGCCGTCGAGGAGAGGATCGTGGCCCTGCTCAAGAATTTTGACAAGGTGCGTTGTGCGACCCTTGCCGGATCCCTGTCTCCCGGCATCGTTTGGCCCCGCGCATCCCGCGATGCTATAAATTTCGCCCGCTAACTTGCCCTCCTGCAGGTCAACGACCCTGAGACTGTACGTTATGCTCAATGCATAGTTGTCTACTTGCGCCCACGGATATATACACGGGGTTGGTAAATTAACCCAGCCTTGCGGCTTATAGATCAAGCCCACCTCTCACTTCGCCAACGATCTGGGCCTGGACAGCCTGGACACTGTTGAGGTTGTCATGGCCATTGAGGAGGTAAAGAAGCGGCTTCCCCTTGGGGAGGATGCTGTTGCGTGCAAATGGAGGACTAACCAAGACTGCAACAACAGGAGTTTAGCATTGAGATCCCTGACAAGGACGCCGACAACATCCACAGTGGTATGAATGCTTTCCCTTGGCATTTGCCTCGTCTTTCCCCTCAGTCATCTGTTGCGCAATTACTAACCCACCATACCCCTGCAGTTGACAAGGCTGTGGAGTACATCCTGAGCCAGCCTGATGCGCACTAAATTATCATGATGTTGACGTGCACGCCTCCTTACGACACTTAACTCTCTGTACCATAGACGCAAAATATACAGGCATATTTTGGAACGGTTGTTTCTAAGCATTTCTTATCCCAAAAGCGGGCAGCCCAAGACTGCTGTCATCTGGAACCAGAGCACTTCTTGTCTGCGACAGGATGAAGCTTTGGCTCACCGACGAGGAAGGGACTGACAGGTCGCAAGCAATATCTATCAGAGATTTAGCCCGCCGTGAAAAAAATATATGGATAACTCTTACTACCAGTCCTCGGCGGGGCGAGGATCTAAAGTGTTGCGCCTGCCTCCTGCCGTCGCCATTTCCAGGGCGTCTCCAGCGCCACGTGTGGCACCTGCTACACGGCGCTTGCGAGATCAAATCGCCCACGTGCTCTCGATCGCGCGGAGACTGCCCTATGACGCCACGTCTTGTTCCTCGGCCCAGGATCGCGGGCCCTGGTCGAGGTTGGGTGGGCAGTCATCAACCTCCTGGCCAGGAGCTCCAGCGCCCAAGAAACGGATTGATTCTCGGCTCGCGACGACTTCTCCTGCTCTCTGTATTACTGTTCGCTCTATTTCTATTTGCATGTTTTCCTGCGTTCGATGGCGGGCCTGCAAATATGGGTTCGAACCAGCATCCCATCCTTCGCCCCTAAGGCCGTCAAGGGTAAGTTGCCTGCAGACTACGCCTCGGGGGGCACCCATAGTAAGAAGTCTCGGTACCATGTGCCTGTACCTATCGGGCGAGAAACGGCCAGCATTCATAAGGACTTACCTCGTCAACGGGTGCCAGCCAGATCGTCCTCTTGACATCGCGACGAGCCCACCCACTGTCGACAACTGCCCTTTGTCGAACCCCGCTGGCTTTATCGTGGCCGCCGTCCTCGCCTGCAGACTCTACCCAACGCCATGGCCGGGGCTCTTGGAACCGGAGAGATCCCTCAGCTCACACACTACCGCGAACCATCGGACCGGAGCACACTCGCGGATACACAACGTGCCCGGGCCTCCATCTACATCCCCAACGGCCTCGTTTCTCGCATACACCAAGAGCCAGTGGACCTGAAGAGCCTCTCGGGTTTCTGGTGGAAACACGAGTCCCAACAGCTGCGCGAGGACCTTCTCTATCCCATACACATCAAGCTCGGCCTGCTGGCGCTTCACCTCCTCACAGCCTTCAACTGCCGCATATACGGAGGCGCCCTGGTTTTCCTCGTCGGGGTCCTTGCCAAGGCGGACGCTAGCACCCTGCGCCTGTTGGCGCTCTTCAGCCTCGCGCGGGCCTTGTCCTATGCCGCGGTGGCGGCGGCAGCCAGCGACCAGATCGAAAGAAGAAGTTAGAATCGGAAGACTCTGTTCAAGACCGTCGTCTGCACGCAGCGCGTCTCGGTGATCTGCTGCGTCGGCGGGCTCGGCGCCCTCATTGGCGGTGTCGGGGCCGAGACGGCCCCGGCGCACCAGCCGGCTGTCCGTATTGCGCTGGTGGGTTGGGTCTTGATTTGGAACATTATCGAAAAGATATCGGCGACCATGAATCTTATCCTGGTTGGCCGAGACTAGAATGTGCAGCTGGCCAGGGGTCCTACAGGGCCCAGAAGATGTAAGTGGGTGCTGGCCTGTCGCGAGGCGCAAGTCTCGGGACTTGGGCTGAATATTGACCACCACCACAGTGATGGCCACTCGGATGAATCTCATCGACGTTACAGCCAGAGCGACAGCAGCTCTCTCTTTGGCCGCCGCGACTTTCATCCACCCGCAGTGGGCCGGGTTACTGCCCTTGGCGTTGGCAGCGACGTCGCTCGGCGTGGAGCTTTGGTTGATAGGCTGGCTATTCAGCAAGCTGGAGCCTGATCTGAGGAGGCCGGTGTCTCCTCCCGGGACTCCGCCTACCTTCAAAATCAGGCTTCACCCGCCACAGGAAGTAGCAATCATCCCCGGCCAAAGTCCGCGCCATCCACTATCTTCTCCCAGTCTATCTCCATCAACGCCTGCCTCGCCAGGGATTTCGATTATGGTGATCGAGAATCTACACTCCCATCCAGAGCTGACTATTCTGAGACCTATCGTCCGCTTCTCTCGTCTGTTGCGGCACTACATCCCGTCATTCAAGTTCTTCTTCAGTCGGCCCGCCGGTTGGGTATCATTTTCCCTTGCGATCCTCTCGTGTAACCAGTATTTCTTTGCACACTTCTCCCATCCCGGGCTCCACCAAGACCCCCATGGCAAAATTCGAACTGCGGCACTCATCGCAGCCCTGGAGATTCCCCTGGGAACCTGGGTCGGCCCTTGGCTTGTCAAAAACCTCGGAGCTAGAGTCAACGGGATTGTGGGCTGCTCACTGCATGCGCTCACCATCGGGCTGGCCAACAAGCTGCCGCCGGTGGAGAAGAAACTTTCACTCAAGCCGGAGGACACGCCGGGTTGGTTCCGCCTGGGCTTTGGCGTCAGTCGTGCCGGACTTATCCTGTTCGACCTGGCAGTGCGAGATATAAACCGCCGCGTAAGCACATTATCCTAACCCCTCCCGTCTGTGTCGTAGCTGCTAGCTGACCCTTTACTTCGTATGATAACTGGCCGGGGGATGGGTATAGCTGATTAAAGATAAAGATTATGTTGTATTCACAACGGCGGAGATTGCCATAGCCAACCTTTTCGAGGCATTAGGGCATTTCCTGGCTGTCATTGACACTTCTCCTATTCAGGGATTACCACCTGACTTTTTACTGGATGCAACACTGGGCGCATGTGTCTGCTCGTTTGTTGTATTATCCTCGTATTTAATCATTGATGCGCTGGCGGGTGTCTGCATCCGATGCAGGAAAAGGAAGGGACGTCCTAGGCCTGGAGGGGACATATAGGCAGAAGCAATGCAGCACGCAAACGAATGATGAGAAACAAGCAGTGAGTGAGTGGGTAGGCAAAGACATTCCACAGCCAGAATATCTGTTGTGTGCTAGTGGTGGCTCCCGGAAGCAGCTGGTCAGGCTGGCCACGTGAGGAGGGTGGTCTGTGGTTGTCACGCCATCGACGACGGGATTGGCTGCAAACGGCGGCCAAGAGAGCGAAGACGGCAGGCGTCACTATTCAATCGGCTGGATGGGAGGCGAAATCCAGCTGTCCCCGCAAATGGCCGTGGTGGGAATTCCCAGTGCCGACCAGGGGGTCTCTTGCTGGGGTGGGTCCCCAAAGAGTCCCACATCCAAGGTGGTCTTTGCGAGGTACCCGCCATTCAATACAGTCACTCGACCAAAGCCCTTGTACCGCGCTATCTGGACACAGGCTGGACCGCGGAGCCCCCTGGTCGGAATGTTTGGCCAACCTACAAAAGGCGCCGTGCTCGCCCGCGAAGAAAAAAAGGGCCCCCTTTTGCCCGACCACAAAGCCGACAGCCTCTGATTTGGGTGTGCGCCCAGGACCAATCACACACACCAGCCCAGCCCGACAGAGCCAGCAAATAACTCCCGACGACGCTTCGTAAACCAACCACCCGAAGTTTAACCACACAGCCAGACCTGCATTGCACTTATACCAAAGCACCAGCCAACAACGCGCCACACAACCCAGACACACAGACACACCACCATCATCAGCTTGCCTTCAGTCTTGAGCCTCAAGACTACGCGTAACTTGGAGGTCCCAACCGGGTTTTTGAATTTCTCAAAAGCCTGGCAGAGTTGCCCCGATATTGGTTCTCCTTTCAAGATCTGGCCGCTGGGCCACAACTCTCTTGTAAGTTAACTTGCGCATATCTCATTTAACTTTTTTTTCTTTTATACCTTCAGCTTCTCGCATCGAACGCCCCTCACGCCTCACGTGTGGTGTGTATCCGGACGCGATCCTTGCGACCAAAGCCGCCAAGTTGCGCCCGAGTCCCTTTGCCAATTGGACTCGACCCCCCCTCGACGCATTGGAGCGCGCCACTGCGGTGTGGATCCCAGGGGTGCTCTTGCGCTCGCTTATCAGACTGAGGATGTTGGAAGGACCACCTGGAAAGACGGTACCTACTGGCTTTTCTCGCTTCCACCTCCGCCTCTCTACTTTTCTGCTATTTCTGTTTCATTCCCTGCCTTTTGCTTCTTCTTCCTCGTTGGAATTCTATTCTCTTCACCTTCCATTTTCCCGTTCCGTGGCTTCAGCCAAGAGTCAGATGCACTCAGAACTCAACCTCCCGCGGCGTCACTGCTGGCCCAAGCTCCCTCCCCACACCCATGTGGGTCTTTCAAAGACGCACATGAGCTCCTCTGGGCAAGGCGCGTTTAGTTTCGGCAAGTGCCAGAACATCGGCACCATCTCGCAATCAAAATCCACGCCTTTCTCTGTCGCGTCAACGACAATCACCTACCACGACCCATGCCGCCTTTCATCGTTGCAACCAGCTAAACAATCGCCCCCCTCCTGCAGAACCGATGGGCGAGGATTCCAGACGGGGCAACAAGATGTTGTCCCTGGGCTCCCGCCCAGCATACCCCATCACCATAACGAAGCTGTACAAGTCCGCCGGCGACCGCATCAAAAAGCAGGAGCCGCTGTTCCAGTACTCGTTCAAGATCTGGGGTGAGGAGGGCAACAGGGAGACGGGCGAGTACGAAGCCGTCCGGAAGACGACATTTACAGAATGGCCCTGCCCCGCCGACGGCAAGCTTCTCAAATGGCACATCCGCGCCGGCGACGTCATCGGTCGCGACCGTGAGTGCGCCACGGTCGAGGAGGACTGCACCCACGAGATTCAGTTCCAGGGCCTCTGTGCCATGTGCGGCAAGGACATGACCGAAGCCAACTGGGCCGCCGACAAGCTCGACACGGAGCGCGCTCCGATCAACATGACGCATGACCAGACTAGACTGCTCGTCAGCAAAAAGGCCGCCACCAAGACCGAGTTCGAACTCCAGAAGAGGTTGCTGGACCAGCGCAAACTGATTCTTGTCGTCGACCTCGATCAGACCATCATCCACGCCTGCATCGAGCCCACCATCGGCGACTGGCAACGCGATCCGACAAATCCCAACCACGAGGCGGTCAAGGATGTGAAGAGCTTCCAACTCAACGACGACGGCCCCCGCGGCCTGGCATCGGGATGCTGGTACTACATCAAGATGCGCCCGGGCCTAGTCGACTTCCTGGAGAAGATTGCGACCATGTACGAGCTACACGTTTACACCATGGGCACTCGCGCGTACGCCATGAACATCGCCAAGATTGTCGATCCAGACCAGAAGCTATTCGGCAACCGCGTCATCAGCCGAGACGAGAACGGCAGCATGACGGCGAAGAGCCTCCAGCGCCTCTTTCCGGTCAGCACTCGGATGGTGGTTATTATCGACGACCGCGCCGACGTTTGGCCTCGCAACCGGCCCAATCTCATCAAGGTCGTCCCTTACGACTTTTTCAAGGGCATCGGAGATATCAATTCCAGCTTCCTGCCAAAACGCGAAGACCTCCTCGGCCCCTCGGCCCAGATCCCCAAGAGTCCCTCGGCCAAGGGCAGCAAGCCGGCCAAGCCGAATGGCGGCCCCACGGCGGCTGGCAAGAAATCCACGCTTGAGGAGTTGGCCAACATGAGCAGCGGCGAAGGCGCGGCGCTCATCAAAAAGCAGACAGAAGAGCAGGAGAAGACACTGGAGATGCAGATCAAGGACCGTCCCCTGCTCCATATGCAGGAAAAACTGGACAAGGAGGACGGCGAGGCTGCGAGCAAGGAAGAGGGTGACAGCGATACCGCCCCAGCATCGGCGAGCCACTCCCGCCATCATCTCCTCCTCGACGACGACAGTGAACTTGCCTATCTGGAGCAGCACCTAACACAGCTTCACGAGGCATTTTACCGCGCTCACGACGCCGAAGTGGCTAGTGCGAAAAAATCAGCCGACGACCAGACGAATCCGCCCGACGTCGGAAACGTCCTCGATGGCCTCAAGGCCAAGGTGCTGCGGGGCACGAGAATTGTTCTTTCAGGCCTGGTTCCTGTAGGAGTCGACGCCCGACAATCAGAGATTGGCTTGCAGGCACGGAGCTTTGGTGCCACGATTCGTGGGAAGGTATCAAAGCGGGTGACCCATCTTGTCGTCAGCAACAGCCGCGCGCGAACGCAAAAGATGGTAGAGGCGGAGCGGATCCCGGGAATCAAGATGGTCAACCAGGACTGGCTGATAAACAGTTTGAGCCAGTGGAAGCATTTGGACGAGACTCCTTACGCCGTGGGCAAGTCGGCGGCAGAGCGAGCGGCACTGGTATCGACAAGCACGCCGGGAGAGAACACGGACGCCGAAGCGACTTCGGATGGCGAGGCGGACGGTGTCCCATGCAAACCAAAGAAAGTCAGGATTGTCGTGTCCAATCCGAGCGGTGTTTCCAACGAAGAGGATGGTGACGATTCAGACGATGAGGACGAGGGACCGGACGACAGTACCGACGACTTTGATGACGAGCCGGGTGTCTACGGCCCAGATGGGCACACCGCAGAAGCCTACAGCACAACAAGCCCCGTCGAGACGCTGAAAGATTTTGACTGGGACCAAGCCGATGCCGAGATGGCCGATTTCCTCGATTCTGATGACGAGACCTCGGCAGACGGCGCCTCGACGGCTGGTAACAACAGCGAGGCCGAGGAAAGCAGCGCTCTCGTGGTGGGTAGGAAGCGCAAGCTTGGCGGCAGCACTACTGAATCCGACGACGACTCTAGGCTTGCGGCAGAAAACACGGGTGCGAAGAAGCAGCGCGTGGGGATGGTGCGCAGTGCTTCGAAGCTCCGTGTTGTACGCGTGCCTGGCGACGACGACAAGGAGAATGGGGCCAGCCTCCCGACGCCGCATGGCACGGGAGACGAGGAGGATCTGGCGCTGCCCAAGAGCAGTCAAGCATCGGCGGCGGAGGACGACGACTTTGATGAGGACCTGGAGGCGGACCTCATGGCAGAGCTGGAGGCGGAGGAGCTGGAGTCGGCAGAACAAGAGAAGGGTTAGATGCCGAGGCTCGCACCCGTGTCTTTTGTTTCCAACTGGTATGTCTTCTGATCAGCGACGGCGCATGGGTTTACCGAAAGAACTAGAGGGGGGCGGAGAGCAGCCTTTGTCTTCTTGTTTTTCTGAATTCACTTTCTGTATGATTTTTCTTCTTCGTCTGTCTGTAGGATTGCATAACAGCCATAAACACTTGAGCAATCGAAATATGTGCTAGAGTGCTGTCCAGGCCTTGAACATTGCCGTTGGAAAATGAGACTCTGATCAAGACTCCAGCCACGCCAACTCGGTAGATACGTGCCGTGAACAAAAAAAAAAATACCAACACACATGATACAGATACTTCAAAATGAGTATCCTACTCGAGTTACAATTGCGGTTGGTAACAACAGAACTTGCATGCTTTTGGTCCTTGTTGGTAGTGAAATCGGTGAAATCAGCAAGTTGGACGAGGTGGATCCACAATGGGCATGATTACCTAACAATTAGCAGCCCACCGGTTGGGCCAATGACAGCCCCCCAATTCCATTTCGCGGCACGGCTCAAGCTGCAAGGCGTCAACGTCCAACTGCAGCAGCCGAACGATCGAACGAGACCCCACGACGGCGACGACCCCGACGCAGCGAAACAGCCAACGACGGCGGCTCCCGCACGACCACCACACGCACGCGATCCAACGAAAAGAAACACCACTCCTTTCTCCCACAAAAGGCCCGCGACAGCCACCAGCCCACCATGCCGCAAGACATGCCGCCGGTGGGCGGCTACGGCGCCGTCCAGTACAAGGTGCGTCGCACATCCGGCGGGCGCCGATAGGGGGAGGGGGAAAGGGAGGAGGAGGAGGAGGGTGAGCAGAGAGACACGTTGGAGGAGGGACGGATGCTGGAGGAGAGGGAAGAGGCGTGCGGCACGATGGAAGCGACCGATGGAGGGAGGGGCATGGAAAACAGACGGACGAGGACAAGGTCGGAAGAGCTAACAAGCAAAAAAAAAAAACCAAACCAAAAAACAGCGAAACCTCCCCTCGCCCGGCTTCCGCGGCGCGCAGCTGCTCGTCGGCGTGGGGCTCGTCATGACATACGGGTGGTACAAGCTCGCAAAGGGCATGCGGGAGCAGAAGTAAGAGGGATCCGGCCTCTCCCGTCATTGGAGAATGAGAGGAGAGAGAAAAAGAGAAGCTGACAACAAGGACCAAAAAAAAAAAACAGTGAGCTGGCCCGCGAAAAGATGTGGGCGCGCATCCACCTCATCCCCGTCCTGCAGGCCGAGGAGGACCGCGACCTGGTGCGCCGCCACCTGGCCGACCAGGCGCGCGAGCGGGAGCTGCTGGGCGAGAACTTCAAGGTGTACAACTCGGACAGGTGCGTTTTGCGGGGCGGGTCCCCTGTGTGTCGCTGTGTTTTGTGCCCATGTGGGCTGTGTGTGAGCTGGGTTGCTAACCGATTTTTGCTTTCCTTCTACAGATATGTCCGCCCCACGTTTGCGGCAACGCCTACGCAGACCAAGGAATAAGGTGGGAGGGAAGCGAGAGGCAGTTCGGGAAGGGGGAAAGGATGGAACCCTGGGGGGTTTGTAGATGGTGGATATCTGCGCCGACTGGCATTCAGTTGGGGCTGGTAGGCAGACGGGAATATATCCTCCAGGCCATGCACAGCTAAGACTATGGAGTAGTCTCTGAGAGCATTGGCTGTTGTGCGTGCTGTACATATTCTAGATGTAAACGGTGGACTAAATCAAGACCACCAGGCGGAGACATCTACCACCAATCATTTCACGAACCTGACTACTCGTCAAGTCACGAACACGCCCAAGAGCAAAAAAAGGGAAACATCTCATTCTATCCATCATTATTCTCATCAAAAAATCACGCCGAAAGAAAAGAGACAGGCATATGGACTCATACACCAGAATCAAACCACCGGAACACAGCCGCTCATGTACCTATACAAAAAGAGAAAAGCCACCCGTGAGAAGCCCCAGACGAACAAGCCACCCAACGCCTTTCCCTTCAGAAAGCCACCAGACATTAGACGCTAATTGGGTATCGAGGCCAGATGGGCTGAGAAAACAGAGTCTAGGCGGTCGCCTGGACCATCTTGAAGCCCTCCGAGACCAGCTTCGCAATATCCTCGTTCTTGTGCTGCAGCAAGCCGAGCGCGAACGCGACGTCGTTCCACTGGCGCTCCGTGTCGCAGCGCGCGAGGCGGGCCGCCAGCTTCTCGGCCAGCTGCTTTGCGTGCTTGTCCTGTTTTTGGTAGAAGACAAGGCCAGATTAGCGAATTTACATCGAAACAAAGAAGAAGAAAAAAACCATTCACAACAACGCACCTTCTCCACAAAGCCGAGCAGGAACTTGACGATGCGCCGGAAGCTCTCCTCGTCCAGCGCCCGCTCAGCGCTGAGCAGGCTGAACATGTCGACAAAGTGGTTGTACACGGCGTTGTCCTTTGTCGACAGTTCCGTGAAGAACATGCGCGCCAGGTCCGCGATGCGCTTGTCCTCGTCCTCGAGGCACTTTGCCATCTCGCCCAGCTGGCCCTTGACCTTGACCTGGCCGGCCAGGATCAGGAACGTGAGCGTCATCAAACAGGTTCGCTTGACCGACGGCTCCGGGTCCGCGAGGCGGCGGTACAGGAAGTCCGTGTTCTCGTCGATCAGGTGGTTGAAGCACACGGCCATGTCGCCGAGCGCGATGACGGCGTTGCTGCGCACCGTCGCGTCGCCTGAGCGCTCCATGATGGTGATGAGGAGTGGCAGGTTGCTCTCGCAGTACTCGGCCGACACGCACATGAGCTTGGCCAGGCACAGCGTCGCCGCCGCCTGCAGCCCGCGGTTGCGGTACGTCGTGTTGTTGGCGCACACCTCGCTGACCAGGGGGCCGAAGAGCGCCAGCAGGCTCGCGGGCCCGTACAGCAGCTCGCGCTCGCGTATATGCGCCATGGCCTCGGTGAAGTCGTCCTCGGTCGTGCCGCCGATCAGGTCCAGCTCGTCGGCCGGCTCGTCGGCCTTTTGTTTGTCCTTGACGCCGCCCGCCTTGCTCGCCATCGAGACCCGGCTGGCCTTGCTGGTGCGCCGCGACTCGGCCTCCTCCGCCTCGGCCGCCGCCGCCGCGCTCTTCTCCTTCTCCTGCTTACGGCGCTTGAAGTCGAGCTCGCAGGCCTCGAGATGCACGATCTGCTTGATGGCCACGTGCCCCACGATGAAGAGCAGCTGCGAGAGAACAACGGCGTTGTCGCGCTTGGGCTTGGATGCAGAGCCGTCCGGCGCAGCCGAATCACCGGCAGGCTGCTCGACTACGCCATCGGCTGCTTCGGCCTCGTCACCGGCGGGGGCAGCCTCGGCGTTGCTTCGAGACGAGGTTGGGCGGGACGACAGCTGCTGGGAGAAGACCTGTTTGGTCTTGTGGCGAATGATCTCGGAGCAGAGGACGTCGGGGTGCTTGGATATAGCGTAGATGGCGTTGATGGCCTGCTCGGCAAGGCCGTACCACTCCTCGTTGCTGTCCGAGGGCGCATCGGTGATTGCGGCCAGGCGCGCGAGGACGGCATGGTCGTTGGGTAGGCGCGAAAACTTTACGACAGAGTCTTTGGCTGCTTGGCGGCCCGTGGGGTTGATGCGGCGCAGGGCGACGCAGGTGAACTTTGCCAGCTGCAGATCGGCGCGGCCGAGCGAGCCCAGCCCTGTACGCAACATGGCCTCTATCTCCCCGACCACAATCTCGGGGCTCGCTGTTGCCAGCATGCCCAGCACAATGATAGCGCCGCGGCGCTGTGTGCGTGAAATTTCACGCTTCTGCACGCCGTAGACCTGCCACAGCTTATGGATGACAATATCATGGATCATGCCGGCCTTCATCATGGTGGCCAGCAGCTGCTCCAGCGACGTCAGCTCGGCCGGGGTTGCGCCAAAGGTCAGGCTGATCATGTTGCGCGCGATGTAGTTGGCCGCGTCGTTGGGGCTAAAGGAGCCGGGCGCTTCGAAGAACAGGCGCTTGTAGCAGTCAATCAGGTGCGTCTGCACGCCCTTGCCCTCATCGCTGTTGCCCTTGGTCCAGATCAGCCGCAGCATCCGCCGGATGCCGACCTTGTTCTCCTCAATGTTGTAGGCGTCCCCGATCTCGAAAAAGTCCATGGCTTCGATCACCTCGCTCTTGTTCTTGGATCCCAGCAGCTGACAGATAGTACCCGTGGCGTCGTGAATCACATTGATGAAGCGCAGCGCCTCCGTGTAGTACTTCTTCTGGAGCGTCAGGTTGTTGATGGCCTCGCTGGTTGCTGCCTCATGCTGTGCCTTGCGGATCGCCTCGATCTTCTCCTCGTCTGACATGGGCTTCGGCCCTGCGTCTTTACTCGGGGACTCCAGCTGAGTCGCGTCGTCGAGTAGCGCGGTGTCCACCGTCGTGTTTGCTGCCTTTTCGCCGTCAAGCCCGGGTGCATCAACCGGCGGCCTCAGAGCATCCAGCTCAGACTGCACCCGGTCTAGTCGGGCCTGCCACTCGGTGCGGTTCAACTGCGCGCCGTGCACGGCAGAGAAGGGATGCGTCTTGATGAGGCAGCCCAGTAGCTTGATGGCGTTGCGCCGCACGTTGCTGCTTTTGTCCTGGAGGCTTTGCGCTGCCAGCTCGGCCACCTTCTGCCGCCGCCTCGAGAATTTGTGCTCGAGATCGCACAGCTTTACGTACACCTGGATTGTCCTGCAACGGCAGTAGGGGTTGACATCCAAGAAGCGTTCTTGTAGGATCCCGAAGAAGGCATCCAGCTGCGTCTTGTGGTTCTCTCCACGCTGGTCAAGCTTACTGAGATATGTTACCATGTTGCCGCAGACTTCAATGAGAGCGCAGCGCAGGGTGTAAGACTCGCTGTCCATCTGCTTGATCAGCTGCGACACTTGCTTGATGACGAGCCTCGGTGCCAACTCGGAAAGTTTGGTGATGAAGGTCGACACCGATTTGGGGCCCTTGGTGTCCTGGCTGCTAAAGGCCCTCCCGCTCAGCTCAACCATAATCTCAGCGGCTAACTGGTCGTAGTCATACTGCTCGGATAGGATGTGCAAGAACTCAGCCATGGGCTCCGCGAGGTGCTCAAAGTAGGTCAGATTCTGAACGATGGACGTCTGCGCGGCATAGCCGTGGCCATGGTGTTTGATGGCCATGCAGAGCACCTTGAAGACGTGCATTCGTATAGGTGTGCTCTTGACCCGCTGCTCACTCTCCAGAATCAGATAGACAGGGCGGCATATCAGAAGGATAAATGTGTCCCTTTCAGGCGTGGTCAAGAAGATCTTGGAAAGTTTGAGCCGCAGGACCTTGCACATGGTATCAAGGGCGGTCTGGAGCTGCATGGCCGAGTCCCAGCTCCCGTCCTGGTCCGCGGCCGCAGCGGTGGCCTTCTTGCCCTTGGGCTTGGCACCGCGACGGACGGCGGGGGCGGTTGACGACTTCTCGGCCGCCTTGGTCTCGACACACGAGATTGTCCATTGCAGCAGGAAGCTGTAGATCTCGAGCAGCTGCTTGTGGTGGGCGACCAGGTCCTGCTCGTCGGACTCGATGTCGTTTGCGACAGCATCGGCCTCGGCAGCCAGACCCGAGGTGATGAGGTCGAAAATCTTGCTCAGCGAGTGTGCGGGCAGAAAGGCCGTGTACTTGAGCAAGAACTGCAGCGAGTCGAAGTGTGCGCTGCGAGTGATGGCTTCGGGGTTGTTGGCCACGGCATCAACAATGGGGTTCAGCACCGGGTTTATGACGGCGTTGGTCAAAGCCTCGGGGTCGTTTTCGCAGTCGAACAGAGTGCTGTGTGCCTCGGGGGTCGGTATGCTAGCCGGGTCGCTCATGTAGTGCTTGAGCGCCTCGTTGATGTCGAAGCTGATGTGGTTGTCCATGGCTGCGGTTGTTGCTTGCGCTGCGGCGGGCGCGAGAGAGGGGGAAAGGGGGGTTCGTTGTCGCCAGTCCGAATCGTGTTTCCCGCTCCAAGGGAATTTCCTTGTGGCTTCCCACGATTCGCGCACCGCGCTAGATGTCGCAGGAAGGGGTCGAGTTCCTACGTCGATTTTCGTCGCGGGGTAGTGCTGTCTTGGTCGTTCTCATCGGCGCGGCGAGAAAGGCTTTGGCTTTGGTGGAGCGTCTTTGCGGTAAGGCGGCAGGCTGCCCCTCCAATGCCCAGCAACTGTTTGTTTTTGTTTTCTTTCCCAGGGCGCTGGTTCCGCCATCGCGCCACTTGATCCCTGCGCCCCACCCACCTCCACCACCTGAAAGTCGGAGTCCATCGCGTCGGTTTGTTGCCAACCGTGATTTCTAGTTTGTAGCTGGAAGGCGCAACCGCGAAACGGCCACCTGCAACCGGGAAAAGTACATTAGCCACGCATTTTGAAGTTCCCACCGACCGATTGGCGTGCTCATCCAGCCTCCGAAGTTCTCTCACCCCTAGAATTAGCCAGCACGGTGAGGTCTTGATTCATCCCGGGACCCTGAGCTTAGCTAGCTCACTCTTATACTGTCCCCGGATTTGGGCGCGTATAGGAGAGCACATCTCACGCGCGGGCGCTGCCGACATGACAACCACAGTTCGCCGGAGGCGGGAGGGCTCCTTCGATATTCGCGAGGACATACCCCCTACCGAGGAAACTCAAATGGAGGACGAGATCCATGTTAGGCATCACCCCCCTGAGCATTACGACGATCCAGAAACGGAAACAATGGACCAGGAAGAGGATCCAGCCGCCGCACGAGTACGAGAGTACTACAGGAGGGCACATCGGGAACGGCAAGAACAAGAACGAGAAGCAGAGACAGCGCGGAACCAAATACACCGGCCCCAAGAGTTGGAGCAGGAGCATGAGGAAGTGCCCGAAGTGGAGGAGGAAGAAGAGGAGGAGGAGCCGGATGGTGATGCGTCCGATGAGGACGTCATCGAGGACTCGGTCCAGCAAGACATGGTCAAGCTGCAGAACGCCTTCCCCGGCTTCCGCGACAAGTACCGTCTTATCAAAAGGATTGGTGAAGGTATGTGGCTTGCTCCTCATATTCTAGTAAGTGGCACCAATGCTGATCCTCAAGATCATATCCAGGCACTTTCTCGACCGTGTACAAAGCAGAGGATTTGCAGTACGACTTTTACGAAAATGCATGGGACCTGGACAGGGAAAACGAGAAATGGGTCCCGCCGCCGATGAGGAATTATGGACTCACCTCGCCCGAGCCGCAGATGCCGCGGCCGCGGCGCAAGGCAAAGTACGTCGCCATCAAAAAAATTTACGTCACCTCGTCGCCCATCCGGATTCTCAACGAACTAGAGCTGCTGTTTGCTCTCAGGGACTGCCCGGGCGTCTGCCCCCTGATCACGGCCTTCCGGCAGCATGATCAGGTCGTGGCGATCCTCCCCTACTTCCGCCACGCCGACTTCCGCGACTACTATAAGAACATGACGGTCCGCGACATGTCGATATACCTGCGCTCGCTCTTTGTCGCGCTCGTATCGGTCCACGATGTAAACATACTGCACCGCGACATCAAGCCGACCAACTTCCTCTACGACCCCGAAACCCAGCGCGGCGTGCTCGTGGACTTTGGCCTGGCCGAGCGCGAGGGCGCCGAGGGCTCGTCCAAGCGCTGCTACTGCCACGAGGAGCACGCGACGCGCAAGGCCAAGCTCCGGCACGCCATCGCCGCCACGGGCAACACGGGCGCGCACCTCGGCTACCCCAAGGAGGACCGGCGGCCGAGCCGGCGCGCGAACCGGGCGGGCACGCGCGGCTTCCGCGCGCCCGAGGTGCTGTTCAAGTGCACCGAGCAGACACCCAAGATCGACATCTGGTCGGCCGGCGTGATCCTCCTGACCATCCTGTGCAAGCGTTTTCCCTTCTTCAACAGCGCCGATGACGTGGACGCCATGATCGAGATCGCCACCATCTTTGGGCAGCGCCGCATGAAGGCGGCCGCGCAGCTGCACGGCTGCATGTTCGAGACCACCATCCCCACGGTCGGCACGCAGGGGTTCAGCCTCGAGCGCATCGTGCTCTGGAGCACCTGCCGCGCCGATTCGGACGAGACGCTCACAGAGGACGAGAAGCTGGCATGCGCATTTCTGAACCGCTGCATGGAGCTCGACCCGGCCCGCCGCATCAGCGCTCGCGAGGCCCTGGACCACGAGTTCCTCCGCATGGCCGAGCCGCCCGAGGGCGGCGGCCAGGGCGACGAGACCAACGGCGAGGACGACGAGATTGACATGATTGAGGCATGAAGGACGACAGTGTCTTTTTTCGCCAATATGACTATTGCCGCGATGCTCTTTCAATGCGGTGGGGGAGTGTTGGGTACCCGCTGTATTATTACTGTATTTTAAGAAAAAGGTACATGAGAAGCATGCAATAGAGGACAGTACGGATGGGTCTCGGGTCGGGAAATTAATCATATCCGTAGCAAGCTGATCGTAGCGTTATAAGCAAATATCGTGAGTTCAATCCTCACTTCCATCTCTCTTGTATTGGTGGACAACCTTTTGGTCCAGGGGCCAGAATTCAAGGGGGCGGTGTGGAACGGGCAGCGCCGCGGGATCCCCACTTGCAGTTATAAGCAACATACATTACCCCTGAACTTATATGATCGATAAGGCCTGGTGGCGAAATGGTATCGCGTCAGATTTCGGTTCTTGAAATTCTCTGAAGGTTGCGGGTTCGAGCCCCGTCTGGGTCGATCTTTTGGATACTCTGCACCTAAACTTCAACCGTTGAAATGACATTTTTTAACCGGCTGACCGGACTTTCTTTTGCAAGGTCTGTAATCATACTCGTTTTGTTGCTGAGCAGCTTAAGGGAGTAACTTGGGGAAAAGCAACAGAACTTATACAGTACACAAAACGCCGAGAATTTCCAAAGCCAACCTAATACTCCCTTTTTATCTCTGCACAGCTACTAGGGGGCGGCCCTCGTTCGCGACCACATGCCGCAAAAAGGCCGACAGCTTCCCATCAGTGCTCCCACTAAACACCACCAAAACATTCTCACAACCGCATGCTCCGAACAGAACTCAAGATAAAGCCAGGATGACACCCATGAATTAAATACTATCTGGTTTAGGACCCTCGCACAGCCAGATAACCAAGCAGCAGACTCCCTAATGTTATCCAGGAACTCGTAATCGCGAATGCACCCTGGATATCCACCTTCCAAATAGACCAAGAAACACCAAACACTAGGCTCGCTGTGACGATCAATACAACAACAATGAAGTAAATCGATCTCCAATG